TTATGCAGCAATGTATTTACTTTTAGTTACTTACTTAAGAATGATGTAATTCTTTTATTTTGCTGAAGATGGAATCCGTAGAATTCCGAATCCTTTATATGTGTTCCCTTCTGTTATAAATAAACAATGATGTTCATCTTAAGTATCGTTATTCTTTTTATTATGAAACTACGTTTAACTTATTTGACGGAGGAACTAGAATTATTTCATAAACTTGTGGAAAAACTTCCGTTTCTCACAGATAATTGAAAACATATAAACCAAGACATTTCACTTCTTCATCGAACTTCAACAGTTGTAAATTCTACTTTAAACGTAAGATCATAACTTGATAAAATATGAGGGAAGGTAGAAATAAAACAAAAATGAAAGCATTCTTCAGAGACCAGACCTCAACAATGAAATAACGAAAAACAACCAAATTACTTAGCTGGTGTATATAAAATAATATTATGCAAAAATGTAAGCACTAACCTCCAATGTTATCTTAAATCACATGGAAAAAGAAGAAAAAAAAATGAAAACGATTTTTTTATGTCTGCTCTTACCAAAGTATAGTTGTATACTTGTGAAGGCGACATCATTAGTTAAGAATATAATTATCCGTGTTTTGTTTCTCACGTAATTTTCCTCCTCCTTTTCACTTTTTTATAACGCAGGTTTTCTTTCAGCCCTTTTATAATATTACAGCATGCGATCTGAAAAACTTCTAATGAAGTAGAACTTTGAATATAGCTACAGGTAAAGTTTATTTACCATTGGATAGAGCAAATTATAAAATGATTAATACAGCAATGCACAGAAAAGAAACTTATAAAGTGATATGAGCAGTAGTTTATGGCTTCCAGTGCTGAATTAAAGAAACTTGGGGCCCTGTGCACTATGGGAAATTTGCCTCCCCTTTCTTAACCAGGACAGAGCTAATATACCATATTCATAAAATCTGTAAATATCAGCTCCCTGTATTATTATTGAATTTTCTCAATACAAGCACCACTGATAGTGCAAATATTTTGTGTTCTTACTCTAATAACTTAATTTCAAATATAATTAATTTAAAAAGTCTTATACCTTCTTTCGTTGAACTAATAGTTAGGCCGAGAAAGCATTTTAAAACATAAATAAGTGAATACCGTTCATACATATTGTTACGTCTCTGGTCGTTGATTAATTTTCCTTAGAAATTCTTTCCAAAAAAACTTGGCGATACAAGTCCTTTCTTAATTAAAACTAGTTTATTATTTCTCAATTCAACTTTGCAATACACTTAATTTCCACAGTCACTTTAACTTAACACACGCTATAATTCACAACGAACGATTCATGCACTCTGCTACCGCGCTTGACTCAATTGTCCGTCTCTATCTCTTCAATCCGCAATTATTCATATATCTATCTATCTATATATGCCGTCACTTCTCGCCGGTCTAATATATACGAAATAGAGGGCGTCTGGAGAACACTCGAGGCTTCACGACGGACATGATCTTTCTAAAATCTCATGACGTGTTACTAGCGTCACGTGACTTCCGCTGTCGTAACAATATTGTTATTTTAGGCCAGTTATGATTGTCATATACATTTATTTATGGAATTTCGTTGTGGTATTTTTTGTTCCGTTGATCGGTTCCCCCTTAGAGTTGGGGTTTCTGTAAAAGTGTATATTGGTTAATCAGAGCTCGATGGTTTCGTGGGAAGTGACAAAACGGAGCTCCTGCTGTGATGAACAAAGGGCTCTCATGAAAAGTTTAGAAGATTTGGGAATATTTATAGGTTACTTAGCCATTCTTTTTGTTACTGAAATATTTTTCCTGTTAAATTATATCAGCTTGAAAGCTACGGAAATTTTCTTCTGTGCCAAGACATCAGGTAAGACTATTTTAGGCTTACAGAGTACAGAGGTGGCGGCAACAGTTAAAGTGTTCTGAGTGTAAATTCGAGTAGAGAACCGCGAATTGTTTCACAAATGATGAATTTCCAGATTTATTTTCGAAGACATTTTAAAAGTTGTTTAATTAAAGAAAAACTACGCGCGCAGTTATCATTGAAAATAAAACTTATTTAGGCCTAACTTCACAAATAAAAATCGACGAAAGGAAAAATATCAAGTACACAATTATATCATCACAAAGAAATGTTTAAGGTTATACAGAATAGTTTTGTGTAATTTTAAATATGTACGATTTAAAACTTATGGAAATGGTATAATGAGTTTTACATTCAATCTCATTTCATATCAAAGTAAAGTAACGCGAACGGAATGTTAATGTTTCCAACAAATTGCTTGGCAAAATGCTAAGACTTATCTTAGGACTGCCATCTTTTTTATGACTTTAAACTTTACAAACAAATCTTTTAACTAAAATCTGGTTATGTGTAGTCTTGTACGCCCTTTCGGTAGGTTTAAAATATGTAACACTGCGTAATTTCATCTATTGTTATTAATCTTCCTTGATTGTTTAACACTTATTTGCGTAGAACATAGCCCCCCCCCCCCCCCAGTGGCACAGCAGTGTTGTCTTCGGACTTATAACGCTAGAAACCGGTTTTTGATACCCGTGGTGGGCATAACACAGATAGCCCATTGTGTAGCTTTGTGCTTAATTACAAACACTTTGTGTGTGTAGAACATAAGTTTTAAAAAAAATCCGACGGAAGTGTTCTTTAAAGTTTGTTATAAAGTTGTTTGCTGTACGTACTGAATCGTGAACCACAATAGTGGTTCATAAGAGGGAACGCAAGAAATTGCACAAAACTATAATAGAACGTTCGGGCAAAAAGCACCTTAACAGTAATGATTCAGCTCAAACAACACTTTAAAACTTTTGATATTGACTACTAAGGCTGTACACATATAAAAATGCACAAAAAGCATGCATGTTATATTTACAAGGAAAAGAAAATCCGCTCAAAACGGGCCCGTTTAATCATTATTATTATTCTCTTGCCAGCCTACAACAAAAACGGCTTGGTATATTGCACTCAAATCTTTTGTAGAATATTAAATAAGGTACTACGAAGGTTGTGGAGGGTATTGAAAGATCGATTTGTTTCTTTTGTATTTTACATAAGCTAAAAAACACCATAGTTCTAGTGTAAACGATGTTATCATTACCCCTTGAAATTGTTTTTCTTTTACATATATTTGGTGTTACCAGCCAATAATAGATGAATATCAGATGACTACGACTTGTAGATACCCATTGCTTTATACACTATACAATCGGTGTCTTTAAGGAGCCAACATATGAAGTGAAGGAACAAAAAAATCAATACACATAGTATTAGATTTTATTAAACACATTCGTAGAATAATTACTGTAAAAGACATGAAAGGTTATTTAAAGCGATGTTTTAGACGTATATATTTTATTTGAAAAGGCTGCTTTTCTACTAATAAAATTTTATACGCGCTTAGTGAGGGTTGTGTCTTAGTCTAGGCATATTATTTGCTCATCGCTATACATTTTATATAGAGAATTTAGTTACACAGAAACTATAAATGCTCACTATATTCTCCATGACAATCTTCAGCTGCAGCTTAACATTTTTACATTTCGAACTAATGCGATCAAATAGCGAAATAACTACAGTAAATCATTATGCACTGTATCAGCTAACCACTAGCTATGTTTACTATTACTACAAGTTTACAATGTATAAAGTTATCATTTGCTCATAGTTGAGCATAAAAAAATAAATAAATAAGAATTTAAAAAACCTGCAAATAGGGATCGTAAAACAAGTATGCAAACAAGGCTGGAGATACTATAGACATTATTTACTCAAAGTACAAGTCCCTATTTTGACTCCACCAAATGTAATTCTAGGTAAAAGCATGGAGACAAAATAGGGATTTGTATTTGGAGTCTACATTATCTTCAGCCTTGTTTCCTTACTTTTTTTACGATTTCTATTTGGAGGTTTTTCCCAATTTTTTATTTATTTTGTTTTTATGTAGATTAACGATTTGTTTGTTTATTTTTAATTATGCACTAAGCTACACTAGGGCTATCTTTGCTTTGCTCTTCACGGGTATCAATACCCGGTTTTTTGCGTCGTTTGTC